GTTTGGATAAATATCCAGAGTAAGTTAGCCATTTCTTCATCCAGTCAGCATTTTTAGTTGGAATTCTGTGAAACATGGTATTACCTCCCCTGTTTACTGTCGCAGCTATTTATAATAGAGCGAAAACCCATGACTAAACTACGCTTTTACTATTTATAAATTGCTGACTCTGTTATCCAAACACTGAGCGAACTCTCCACTCCTCACCACGGCGTCTCAGGTGATGCGGTTATTACTCCGTCAAAGTAGCAGTGCTTCGCCTTCAGAGAATAGTTCCCAGGTTTTATAAGGTTAAAAGATGTCTGTGTCTCATTTGACTTTGTTATTTGTACATTCTGTGACTATACAAATCACAACATGTAAATAGGAAAACGTTTGCGTTGTTTTGTCACTCATTTGGATTAGTATGAAAGCTGCAACCATTCACATCCAGTCTTTGTGCTAAGCTAGGCTAGCGGTGGGTGCGTCAAACAGACTTATACCACGCACGGAGATGAAAAAGGTATGTATGGACTTATCTAACTCTGGGGGGTAAGGTGAATAGGCTAAAGTCCCAAAAAGTCGGAGTGTTCCTTTAAGAGCCACCCATAACCTTAGAAAATGAGCATATTTCCTTTTACTAACAAGCTACACATAATATACACATAAAATATTTGAAGAGTTCAGATGCAAAAGCCTCTAAATGCCATTTGAAATTTTCTTCTTTAATGGCGAATTTTATCAAACTTGTATATTTAAGTTCAGTAATTTCAATTAAATGGCAATGATAATTACCTATTAATTGTTATTTAAGTGAAATTACTGAACTTAAATATACAAGTTTGATAAAAAGCATCATTAAAGAAGAAAATTTCAAATGGCATTTAGAGGCTTTTGCATCTGAACTCTTCATTTAGTCTAAATCAAAAGAGTAAAATGAATGACTGGAAAAGATGGAAAAGATTATTAATACTTTTAATAATTATTTTAATGATCACTTTTCATAGAGTGAAAGAGTGGTGGCACATTAGGGGGGTCAGGAGATCCCTGCTGTGAGGTATTGGCCTGGGTTTGGGTCAGGGACTGTGTGCTCTCATCTGATGTCTGTGGGTAGACAAATCAGAAAATGTAATTTAAAAAAAAAAGTTTTATATATATATATATATATATATATATATATAAAACTATTGCCTTTCATTTAACATGTAAATCTTACATTTCTATTCTTTAAACGGATAGAGCAGCACTTAATACACAATTAAAACAGATGTAGCAGCACTTTAACATTGAGGTTGACGTATTCTACACTACCTCTACTGGTGTTACCATAGACTCAAGGAGAGCCACTACATTAAATCTTCATCACAAGATATAGTTAAATTGCTAGAGGTGTCTCTGTTTGTGATGTATGGCTCCAGGATGTTGAGGATGGACATACACTCACCGGCCACTTTATTAGGTACACCTGTCCAACTGCTCGTTAACACTTAATTTCTAAGCAGCCAATCACATGGCGGCAACTCAGTGCATTTAGGCATGTAGACATGGTCAAGACAATCTCCTGCAGTTCAAACCGAGCATCAGTATGGGGAAGAAAGGTGATTTGAGTGACTTTGAACGTGGCATGATTGTTGGTGCCAGAAGGGCTGGTCTGAAATTTCAGAAACTGCTAATCTACTGGGATTTTCACGCACAACCATCTCTAGGGTTTACAGAGAATGGTCCGAAAAAGAAAAAACATCCAGTGAGTGGCAGTTCTGTGGGCGGAAATGCCTTGTTGATGCCAGAGGTCAGAGGAGAATGGCCAGACTGGTTCGAGCTGATAGAAGGGCAACAGTGACTCAAATAACCACCCGTTACAACCAAGGTAGGCAGAAGAGCATCTCTGAACGCACAGTACGTCGAACTTTGAGGCAGATGGGCTACAGCAGCAGAAGACCACACCGGGTGCTACTCCTTTCAGCTAAGAACAGGAAACTGAGGCTACAATTTGCACAAGCTCATCGAAATTGGACAATAGAAGATTGGAAAAACGTTGCCTGGTCTGATGAGTCTCGATTTCTGCTGCGACATTCGGATGGTAGGGTCAGAATTTGGCGTCTACAACATGAAAGCATGGATCCATCCTGCCTTGTATCAACGGTTCAGGCTGGTGGTGGTGGTGTCATGGTGTGGGGAATATTTTCTTGGCACTCTTTGGGCCCCTTGGTACCAATTGAGCATCGTTGCAACGCCACAGCCTACCTGAGTATTGTTGCTGACCATGTCCATCCCTTTATGACCACAATGTACCCAACTTCTGATGGCTGCTTTCAACAGGATAATACGCCATGTCATAAAGCTGGAATCATCTCAGACTGGTTTCTTGAACATGACAATGAGTTCGCTGTACTCAAATGGCCTCCACAGTCACCAGATCTCAATCCAATAGAGCATCTTTGGGATGTGGTGGAACGGGAGATTCGCATCATAGATGTGCAGCCGACAAATCTGCGGCAACTGTGTGATGCCATCATGTCAATATGGACCAAACTCCCTGAGGAATGCTTCCAGCACCTTGTTGAATCTATGCCACGAAGAATTGAGGCAGTTCTGAAGGCAAAAGGGGGTCCAACCCGTTACTAGCATGGGGTACCTAATAAAGTGGCCGGTGAGTGTATATTTCCACCTGCGACTGCCTCCTGGAGTCCCTGAACCTGACTTCTTTCTCTTCATTTTTCTCTCATTTGAAAGTGTCCCTCAGGTATTTCCACTTTTTATGACATTGTTCAACTAAAATTCATATAAACGAAATGATTAGAGATTTTACAAAACAACTTTAAAACAATTCTGATAACCAGGCATTATAGAAGTGTATCTAAAAAAGATTTGCCCTAATGTAGCCTATATATTAGGCTATACTTTGCAGCGATACTTTGCAATATTTCAAAGACGTTCACACGAAAAGGACCGGTGAAACATGGTATCTTATATATAAGATATATATATATAAGATATATAGATAAGTTGTATTTCATATATATATATATATATATATATATATATATATATAAGAAATACGACAAGAAAAAATAGGGGTAGGTTTTTTGTGTTTTTCTTTTTTGTTTTGTAAATCATTTTCTTCTTTAAAACAAAAATATGTATTGTATTCTTATTTTTCATCACTTTAAGGGCTTTTATAAAATACATAAACTGATTAACAAATAAAATACACAAAACCTTGGTTTCACCTTCAAGTACAAATAGGTATAAGATTTACCCAGTGGAAATTATCAAGCGTGAAGAGATGAGTCCTACCTTGACAGGACCTGAAAAGATGGCCGCCACGATGCCCGTCCGCAAAACGCCACTAAGACAGAGTTGTCAATGTCAGGAATAAATCAAAGCATCAGTTTAAGGAGTACCGATATAATCTTGTGATTTTTTTTACATGTATATCGTAAATATGATGATGTGTATGCTTTTAAAAAACGCTTAAAAAAAAAATCGCGCACAGGCAGTGCAATGTCTACCTATCAGGTGGAGGATGGGAGAGTAAAAATATGTGCATGAATTAGGAAAAACAGCAACATCCAGATGCAGTGGAAATGGCCCTTTTTTTCTTTTTTATATAGCAAATATGTTTGAAATATCATTAAATATAGAAAGTTGATTATAAATTTGTGTGAATTAATTATACTTTAGTTACATTTATTTTAATTCCATTACTTAATTCTTGAGTCTTATCTCACTGACCGTTCCCAACATGTCAGAGTTCAATCATCTAAATTGGCGGCCTTGAGTCTGTCCACCGATCTTCCTCAGGGATCTAATTTAGGGCCTCTGTTATTCTCCATTTATATAAATGACCTCCCACTTGCTTGTCCTGATGTTTTTGTACAGATGGATGCTGATGACACCGTAATCTATGCACACGGTAGGAATATCGCTCAGGTGGTTGAGAAGCTCAATAACTCCATGGATAGCATCACAGCTTGGTTGAAACACTCCTGCCTGCAGCTGAATATATCAAAAACAGTAGCAATGTTTTTTACTAAGTCCCACAAAAACTTAAGTGTTGAGCCAGATATTTTTGTTTCTGGGGAAAAATTGCAGATTGTGTCAGAATACAAATATTTAATTGATTCAAAGTTATCATTCTCATCACATGTAAAAATGGTCTGTAATCGAATTAAATATAGTCTCAGTAACTTTAGACACATTCGTCATCAAATGTCCACACAGGCAGCAAAAATGTACATGCATTCTATGATTTTCTCACACATCACTTACTGTTTACCCGTTTGGGCACAAGCTAGTAGTACATCTTTGAAACCTCTGCAATCACTCTACAAACGAACGGTTAAAACTCTGGATAAGAAACCACATATTTCTCATCACTGTCCAATATTACAAAAATATAGATTGCTCAGTTGGTATAATATGGCTAAATACTCAAATCTATGTCTTATTTATAAAATTATTCATGGTTTATCTTCCCCTCCCCTCCAACAGTTTGTCAATACCCGAACAGCTGATTACTGCAGGACCAGAGGTTCAGCTAGGGGAGATTGTATCATTCCCTTTAGGAAAAGTGTATCTGTTGAAGCTGGTGCTGAGTGGAATCTCACCCCCATAACTATCAGAAATATAAACGTGTATAGTTCATTTAAAATTCAGTTAAGGAAATGGCTTATTGATCATCAGAGCTGCCAACATTAACCTATTTCTACACATGCTCTTGATGCACACTGTTGACTTTTTAACTTATGTGTTTGTCATGTTTTTACGTGATGTTTGTCCGATTGTTGTTTTGATGTGTTTAGGTTACATATTCTAACATAAATATTTTACTGAATGTATTTTAAATTTTTTTAGTGCTATGTACTATGTAATCTTTTTTTAGGGTGACTCTTACCAACTGTCTAGGGACTGCAGATGAAAAATAATTCTGGCATATTGACAGAAATGTTTATGAATATGAACTGTCCTTGTACTAAGTGTCAGAGTACATGGTATAAAGCACACGAAGACAAGGAATATTACTAAGAGATGGACTTTAATAACAATATTCTGGAAACAAGGAATAAATGCAGGAGTAAAACACACACTAACATTATCATGAACCGACAGACACTAAGGGGGCTTTTACACTGGGATCATTTGCTGCGGTACGAGCCCGTGCGCGTTTGTTCCCGGCGCCCCCTTCCGCAGCGTTGGTCTGGTTTCACACTCAACTTGATTCTATCGAACCCTGGTGCGTTTGCGTGCATCTTACGTCATCACAAACGTGCAATGGCGCATGACAGAAAACAGAACGCGGGTCAATATTGTGTTTTATTAATTTGCTGTTATTATGCGCAGTTGAGTGAAAAATACAGGTTTGCTGTGCATGTGTCACATAAGGTGGGCTTCTGCTGCTTGCAAATGGACTCTTTTGAGGAGACAGTGGATTTACAAATGTGTTGCTCTGATTCCACGTGCAATGCACAAATACACTGCAGGCTCACTCTTGCTTGTATCCAAGGTAAATCATCAACACTGTCATCCCTAACTTGTTTTATTTAACTAAATATATTATAATCAACACTTTACTTCCTGAACAGGTGCGCACCCGAGTCCGTGCTGCTTTCACATTCACACGAACCGTGCCACGGTTTGGGAGCAACCGAACTCAGATCTACCTCCACCAGGTAGTCTCGGGTTCGGTACCCCAGTGCGCACCCGGGTCCCATGACAGCGTTCACATTAGCTAATTTTTCAGGTGAACCGTGCCACGTTCCGAACTAAACTGCCAGTGTGAAAGCCCCCTAAGGGAGAACTGAAAGCTTATAAGCATGGCTGAACAAAGGGAACTAATAAGTTGATTAACAAGACACAGGTGAATGAATTGACTAAACAAACTAAGGAAAACTAGCACAGGACAGAACCAAATACACAATGAAAGGAGTAGGTTCAAGTAGGTTCAGAGGAGGAATACGCCTCCTCCCAAAAAGGTGTGTCCTCGCACCGTATCTAGTGCAATGTGCTGCTGATGGTACTGGAGGCCATGGTGCAGCTGTGGCGATGGGAGTCTGAGATGTAGCTGGGAAACCAGAGGACAGAGGCTGAACCGGTGGGACCAAGGACGAAGGCAGAGCCGGGGGGAAGGGTTATCCAGACAGAGCCAGCGATGCAGCGATGGGCACAGATGCTCGAGGTGGAGACGGGATCCTCTGTGTTAGATGGAGCTGATGGCCTGAAGACATTTGGCATCTCCACCTGTCATGTGGGAGATGCAGAAGGGCTGAAGGCCAGGAGTGATGGTGGGGCTGAGGAACAGGCTGAAAAAGCCTGTTCCGGCGGGAGAGGGAGGCTGTGTGGGCATTCGGGGGACACCGGAGATGCAGGGGGGCGCTGGAGATACAAGGAACTCTGTAAATAAAGGGCTGCTGGAGATACAAGGGATAGGGAATCACCTCTCCAAAAAAGATCTATCAAGTCTACCTTAAACAAGTCCTTAAGCTCATCAGAACATTTACCAGAGTTCAACATACACATTTCCATAGCAGTAGGGTTGTGGGTGGGGCTATCCTCCCAGCCCTTGAACTCCACAATCACTCTCTCAGTGACGTACAGTGTTGCTGGTTCGAGCATCTGGTCAGACTGTTGGTGGTCCAGGCTCCGAGGCAATGTATCCCTCTGTCCTTATCCTCGGTACGGGCTCATCTCTTGCGGGTGGCCAGTCTCTAATTTCTGCGGTGGCCTCAAACAACATCTCTGTCATGTCGTTCACTGGTGGTGGTGGTTGGCTGGTCTCTGGCGTTATGTTCGGAGTTGGGCTGATGAAGATACGGTATTGGTCGGTTCTGCTGTCACGGTACGTGGTATGAAACACATGAAGATGAGGAATAATACTAGGAGATAGACTTTGATAACAATATTGTATGATAGTGTTACCTTACATATTGTGTAATGACAATATTGTTTTAGTCTAATATTGTAAAACACATACTAACGTTCACGAGAACAGACAAACCGACAAACTAACTGAAAACTGACGGCTTATAAGCATGACCAAACAAAGGGAACTAATAATTAACAAGACACAGGTGAATGAAATGACTAATTAAAGAGACTAATGTAACTGTTGACTCTGCGTTGTGTGTGTACAACAAATGGACACCACACTTCTATGGCTGGTCTATAGCTGGCTCTTCATTTTCTCAACAATGAAGAGCTGGACAAATCGAAGAATTAATATCTAGAAACATGCATTCTGTAGCTTCTCTCAAAACTTCATCTTTGTCTCTGTGAGCCACGAGACGTCCTCATCTTAGAATAGCTTAGCCTGAACTGAGAGGCAAAGTTAAGTGTCTCTTAAAGGGGCAGTACACTTCATTACCAAATCGTATATAAACTCAAACTATACCAACCAGTGTGATTAAATCAAAAGACAATACAATGAAATCAAACAATATTTTCAAAATAAAATAATCAGAGTTCATACAATGAAAAAAAAATATGATTTTGAGTGAAAAGAATAATGCTGATTTTACATTAGTTAAACAAAGGAAAGCTAGGTCACAGGACAAAACCAAACACACAATAAAAGGGGAAACACGGAACATACATGCTACAGGTTGTGTTGTTTGACATTAAATTGAAATGCACTGTTCAAATTGCTCGAATAAGGAATTTCTCAATATCTCACTCATTTAAATAACAAGAAAACAAGAGTTGGTGATTTACATTGACATAACCTGGACAACTTGTTTACTGTTTCCCCTACTGTTTTTTTTTTAATTATTCTTTATAGGGATTTATGGCCTTTGTCTCATATCTCATCTGGACATTTTTGCTGACTCTGTTTGGAAGGACAGCTCTCCACCAATTCCTGTACTGTTGTCTGACCTGCACAAGAACAGAAAGTCAGTCGAATCGGGTTATTTAACAAGACAAATTATTACTATAATCAAGGGATGGAGTGGCTTGAATTGTTTTGGAACAGATTTTCGTTTGGAAGTGTGCCTATATGGTAGGGGTGTAACGGTACACAAAAATCACGGTTCGGTACGTACCTCGGTTTTAAAGTCACGGTTCGGTACGTTTTCGATACAGAAGAAAGAAAGAAATGCCAGAGAAATTTCCTATTTGTTTAAAGAAAAAATATTTTTAAATAAGTGTGAGTTTTCCTAGATCTTGAAACTTTCAGGTTTATAAATGGGGGTCATCTTTGAAGGATGAACAAATAATGTTTTGGTCATCACATTAAAAATAACATTTAAATATATATTTATTTATATAATATTTGAATTTTGAAGTGCTGGAAAAAGATGTGTGAAGTACTTGAAAGCATTTCACCATTCCAGCCAAACGGGTTCCAGTTAGTGTTACTATATTAAATCCATGGTGAATGTTGCTGTGGACGTAAAGTACTAGTTCATTCACGGCACAATGTTTCTCCTGGTTTCCATGACAGCGCTGTTTGATCTAATAGAGATCTACGGTTAATAACGGAGAAATGTGAACGCTTCTCACTAGATCTCGCAGCGATGTTATTACCTCAGTGGTGAATTCAAATGTGTTCTTTAACGGATCTCTTAGCGCTGTGTAGTAACAGTGTTGCTTGATCGAGATCGGCTCGCACTGCACAGATGTTGCTGGTCCGAACTGATAAACGATCTGTGAAGCACATAACGAGTAGCGCAGTTTCGTTCTGCTTTCATTACCCTTGCCATTTAATGTTGCGCAACGTTGTGTTGGCCGCGTCAGCACGAATTTTGCTGGCAGGAAAAATGGTCCAAGCAATCGTTCGGTTTGTATGCGTACCGAACCGGAAGCCTCGAACCGAAACGGTTCAATACGAATACATGTACCGTTACACCCCTACTATATGGCCTAAAATGGCCGTTTGCTGGGTTTTGGAACAGTGCTGTAGTCTCTCAGGTGTGAAAATAAGATGTAACTCATATGAATTGTGTGAACCAAAGAAGATTCTCTGGTAGAGTAACATGATGTCTGACCTCATTATTGAGGACACAATAGACCAAGAAGATGAAGGTTCCCTGCTGGGAGTTCAAGATCAGGAAGAGGATCTCCAGCTCCTTCCTGCCGTTAGTGAAGAAACCCAGAATCCAGGAGCACCCAAGAACCACAAACTGAGCCAGTGTTTTAAATGTCATAGTCCTGCAGAGAAAGAGAAAGAAAAACATTTAATGTGTCTTTATTGACAATTTGTTATTTTAAATCAGATTGTTTGTTACTTGGTTTGTTTCATCTGTGAAACTTCAGGGTTCCGATTTTTCAAAGTCAAGTTCAGACTGATGATGATGTTGATGAAAAGAATCATATTTAACTGCACAGTAAGAGAAAAAAAGGTAATTAGTCATTAATCAGTGTTTTCATTTTCATACAAAGCCATGAGTTAAAAGAAATAAGAAATGTGCTTACGGCAATTATGACCGCAACAGGTCCCAGAAAACTCCAGAAAAAACCTTTATCCATTTTAATCCAGCAGCTGTTTGGAGGAAGATACAGTCAAAAAATATCAATGAACAAACATGGATGAATATCTCTGAGTTACTCAAACTAAACTCACTCTTCGCTTCCGTAGCCTTTAGGATCCACCACAGCAGACACACCCACCACAACCAGACCAACCACATAGCCAATCACACACAGGAATCGACTGCTAAGTACAGCCCTCTTTGAGGACCTGATCTGTGATAGGTTCTTCACACAGATGAAGAGCAGCACAGCTTCAATTAACATCCACACAAAGCCGGAGAGAAAGAGGAAGTGCAGCACTCCTGATATCACGGCACACAACACCTGGAGATCATGAAAGACGGTTATGGGGTGATTCTCCAACTATGGTACTTTTTCTGTCCTTGACAGATATTAAAAAAACTAAAAAACATTTCCACTTTTTTTTTTCACACTTACTACATGTGTAGGGGAACCTATATATTTATAAAAAACCAATGTTCAATTCTGTTGTTTTATATAAAATAGGATGCATTTTATATGCGTTTTTTACTATTTTGCCTCTGTCCCTAGGCCAGACTTTGGGTCTTCAACCTTACCTCACTTCAAATCCAATACTGATATAATTTTAAATTCAAACAGAAAGTATGCATTATAATCAAATTCATTCAAATCTGATAATTTTATACATATTTATTTTCAATTTGACATATTTTAAACTTATTGAACACTTGTCCCTTGGGTTCACTGTCATTTCCACAGCTCTGCATTAAATGCAATCCCAGGCTCAGTGTTCTAGATTTGTATACTCAGTAACCAAGTTAGCTGACACGCCAGAGGAACCCACATGGCTGAATGAAAGAATGGTCCCAGCAGAAGTTAATAAATTGGAGATATATCAAGGTAAATATGAGAAATACTGCGAGTATGTTAATTGTATGTCATTTCTGAACCGCTCATAATTCATTCCGACAGAAACATTTCAGGATTTTTACAATTTCATCAGGTGATATTTGAGATTATTTAATGCTAACTCTAAAACTAGCACTAACAGGCTAGTCAAACATGAGATATTAGAGGGAAAGGGGGAAAAATATCATTTCCACAACCGTCATTTCCACATCTGTCTCCATGGAAGTGATAAAGACAGTTGGCTTGTCAAGGACATTGTATGTGCTTTAAAAGCAAAGTAGTTTGCCTATAGTACTAAAAATAGAGTGTATAAACACAAACTTTACATATAATGTCATGAGAATGTTTTAAATTGAGATATTTTATTGTTGTACGAAACGTCACGTGATGTTGGATCCATTAGTGTGAGACCGAAATTGACTGCGAGTGAACCTTGGATAAAAAAATGGGTGATTTTAAATTCAAACAGAAAGAATGAATTATAGCCCAAATATAATATATATACTTTCTTGTATTTCTTTTCAATTTGGCATATTTTAAACATGTTGAACATTGGGTTCACCTGTTCATCTGTGAGGGAACCTTGGCCCATACACTGCTCTGGTTCAGGGAGTGGTGAAACATGTCACATTTTCACAGAAATTTTCATTTGGATTTTTTATGAAAACACAAGGATGATTGTGTTTATGATATTGTTTTTGTTTCAAATAATTTGTCACACATGGAAAGAGTTATCTTTTTAGTGCTGTTAGGCCAGTTGTTCATCAATACACTATCCCTGTTTAAAATTAAAATAAGAATAAACTTCAAACTAGAACTTGAGATTCATTTTGTCCTACACATTGAGGTCATGACTCACTTTTGCATTTCCATAATGCATTTATGATTCTACTACAGGTTCTATATCTGAAATGTTATTTTCGCCATAACCCGCCTTTCCCTTGTCATTTCCACAACCACAGATATTTTTTTTGGTAAAACATTAAAAAAAAAAAAAATAAGGTAATGATGGTGGTGGTGTTGATTATTTAGCAGTTAAGGGTGAAGTATATGTATATGAGTTGAAAAATATCAGATTTGAAAATATAATAAAATTCAGAAATATGAATGAAAGGTTTCAGTGGCTTAGTGTTCAGCGTTTGTTTTGGTGTTCACTTTGTAATATCTTAACCGTTGCATTTCAGAGAAATAAATGAATTTACAATTTGGAAACATGCAAGTGTGATGTGTAACCCAATATATTTATAACTACAAATATTTCAACATATTTTGTTGAAAACACATGTTTTTGTTCGGTTGTGGAAATGACAATTTATTTTGCGATGTCTGAAAAAAAACAACAAAAAAACATATTATTTCATAAAAATCAGCACTGCCAACTTCAGGGCAGGTAATTAGGCATACTGGGGAAACAAATTATGCCAGTAATATTTTAATTAAAAATGTTTCATTTTCTGAAAAAGTCCAGGTCTAAAAAGTACCATAGTTGGAGAATCACCCTAGATGATTCTCAGTGAGACTGAGCTGAGCTGTAGAGCTCCTTCGTCATTCTCACCTGATGAGGGTTTATGAGACTCACAAACTGTTGTGTGAGCAGGAACAGAAGGTGAGCCAACAGAAGACTGATGCAGAGGTTGATTCGAGCCACATTATTCACTCCAGGACTCCACTGACAAATGGCAAAGGTCAACAGCGCCAAACTGAAGAACACCAGTCCCACGGGCACACACACCAAATTCAAGACCTTCAACAGCTCCAGCAGTGAGTCTCTCTGAGAAAACATGTCAAAATACACGAGTGCCATATCTGTACTATTTATTAATGCTCCCTATAAATGTTGACCATCTACTGTAGATTACAATTGAATTCTGCTAGTGTGTTCAATACTTCAATATTTTGAGGAGGTTTTACTTGTTATTTTTCATACCTCTGATGGGCGGCTGGTTTGCATGATGAGAGCGAATGTCGACAGATGAACACAGGAACACACAGTGTAACTGCTGTTGGTCTCTAAAACCGAACAACCATCTACAATCCACTCACTGATATTCCAGTACACACAGGACAGAGAACCGTTGGGAACAAGCTTCTAAACAATAAAGAAAAGACATGCATATTAGGGATATCTCAAGTAGCGGCTCGCCAATACACTCAAAAAATGATGTGTTGGCTTTACTTAACTTTTTTTTATTTAAACAGGTTCCACCGGTTCCACATAACTGGGTTTCGTTAAACAAACATAATTTGTTCATGTAACTTCAACATCATGGAAGTAATTTTAAGCCATCCAATTAAACTCTGAGCTGAGTGTTAAATGAACACTGAAACAGTGTTAAAGTTAATGAGATAATTAAGTGAATAATTGAGTGATGATTGAGCATTATTGAAGACACCTGATGTTAAAGCTATGGTATACAATGTTAAAAATCGGTAGTTTTAAAAAACTCATCCCGCCCCTGCATACACACACACCCTGATCCCTACACACCCTGACCACACACCCTATGTCACGTTTGAGTTCACGTCAACGCAAGACAAGCAACACATGACAAGCTAGGCATACTGAAATACATTCAAGCACTTCAAGAAATATAATTACTTTGACCCGTGATAGGCGATGCTACACGGCTAACGTTCCAATGCCGACCGGCAGCATGAACAAGTTGTCAAACTGATAAAAAGCTATTTATGCAACACACGTCACAACATAAAAGTATAAATAAATGTTTACATGCTCAACAAAAAGTTAGCTGTGTCAGCGTCGGTTTTCAGTCCCAGATCTCCCTGAAGCTTCCTCCAACGGTCAATGGTGGACCCTATATTTATCCTACTTAGAGTCCGACTCTTTAGTCTTCTAATTAGGCTACGTTCACACTGCTCTGGATTTTTTTTGCCCCTATGCGACCTGTATCTGATTTTTTCATGACAGTTTGAACGACACAGATCCGATCTTTTCAAATGCGACCCAGGCCACTTGGGTATGTGGTCCAAATACGATATGTATCCGATCTCTTGAAATGCGACTTCAATCTGAACGGTCAGGTCACATATATCCGACCCGCACGTCATTGCAAGCACCTGTAGCTAGCCAATACACGCTAACTCCAACGCGTTTCTGCACTGTTATGGGCCGCTGCAGACGTCTCTCTTCCCCAGTGTTGTGCCTGAACACATCCAATGAACGACAGTGCATGAACGTGTTCATATTTTGAACTGTCACGTTCGCCCAAAATAAACGTACTGTATTACTGCCTGATGAACATTACTGTGAACAGGTTCATTCAAGGTGTCTGTGAACGTGCGCTCTCTGTCAGTTTAACTTCGTACAGTAGGGTGCCAGATTTCTATAGAGCCTTCCAGGCGAAAAACCTGGTTAAAGCACATGTAAACATGCCTTAGAATGTAGCGAAAAAACACCCAATCTGGCAACACCAGCCACCAGTGTCGCACCGCAGCCGCCGGCGACAAAGCAAGGAGCGCCGAGGACGCGTACTATCAATTAAACGGGTTTTATGACGAGATCGGTGAGGATCGGAAAAATCTTACATTTATGTGCATGCAAACTTTGCCCGTCGATAAAATAATTGTTGTCTGTGTTTGTATGGGCTGTGGCAATAATAATAATAAAACAAAAGCTCGCAACATATGGAAAAAAATAACTATTCCCCAAACAACAAGTGACGTCGTTGACCGTTGATTACTCTTCTGCGCATGCGGGTCACTTCTAGGTCATTTTTTACGTTCACACAGGAGATCACAAAATGTCGCATTTAATTGAAAATGTGAACGGCCTTGCAAAAAAATTGAATTTTTAAAAAAAATCGGAATTGAGCATTAAGCCCTGCAGTGTGAACGTAGCCGTAGAGAGCTCTTTCCTCTACATACTTTCTCTTTCGTCCAACCTTTACAGTAGGGGCAAGCAGTGGCCGCTTGCTGCCGTCGTTTATATTTTATCCATTGCTGATCTGATGCTAGCTGTCTGTCAGCTGCTTGCTTGTGCTAGAAGGGGTCAGGGTCGGGTGCGGTTGGGTTGGAGATGCGAGCGCCTGGTGGAGTTTCAAGTGGAGCTGGTGATTGGATGAGAGCAGTTGACCAATGTAAGCTGTCCAGCCAGACAGCTTACATTGGTAAACTTCTCTGCGGCTGTGCAGCCAATAGACTGAATGGATTTTTTTCATTCTTTTTTCTATTCACATTGCTAGGATTGTACTATATATCCATAACCAGCATATAAACAAAGATATTAATAATGAACAATCTTTGAAATCGTATACCCTAGCTTTAACAAGCAGAATCACTGAAGGAGAAAACCGGAATTTCAGGTAAATGAGGTCACCATTATGGAGATGAGTGTATGTTTTAGTTGGGCTCTTAAAGGACAAGTTCGGTATTTTACAGTTAAAGCCCTGTTTTAAGATCGTTTCTGATTAAATAGAATGGTTAGGATTGTTTTTTAGACAGATGCTGCTGTCACGAGAATTTTCAGTTTCTGTGTTAGCACCCCCCCACCTTTATAATGGTAGCATAGATGCACTGGGACAATCATTCACAAAAACGCATAAAACTTTACTTTACAAAGATGTGAAACTCAACGAGTGGTCTGGGGTGTTCACTGATATGCTCACCCAAAAATCACTTCCATAATGTTGAAGTTACATGAACAAATTATGTTTGTTTAACGAAACCCAGTTATGTGGAACCAGTGGAACCTGTTTACATAAAAATGTTAAGTAAAGCCAACACATCATTTTTTAGTGTAGAGTGATTAAACCTAGTTAAATTAAAGCTAAAACAGATGCAAAGAATAGGTAATTTATTTCAAAGGTTGCCAACAGTTGTTTAGGATAAGGGGTTGGTTAAAGGAGCAATGTGTGACTTTTAGCGACATCTAGTGGTTCGGTTGCGAGTTTGCACCAGGTTTGCACTAAGGGCTCAGCCCACTGCTCACCCCTCCCTTTCGAAGAAGCTACGGTTGCTAAAACGGGACAAACATCTCGTCGGCTGAGACAGCAGAGAATAGCTAGAGTAAGCCAAGAGTGTGTAACATTGTCACTGTTTCTGTACCACAGTCCATTATAAACCACATCATGAATACTGTTTACAAAGCCATAGTCAGGTGAGGATCAAGGGTTTTAATATATAATTTAATAAAATAATAATCAGCTGATTGTCTCACAAACGTAACCAGCAGCACATTTCTCCCCACATACTGTAGCAAACCCATAATACAGCGAGGGAGCAGCTATATATTTTTTCTAACAGGGTAGTAATAGTTTAGCTGGCTAATATGAGCTGTTACTGTGGCTGAGCTGGGACGCATCTGCATGAGTCCAAAGGTCGGAAGTGCGCGCGCTGTTACAATCATGTCATCTCCGCATCCCATAGATACTATTTACTACACACAATAGGCTTTTTTTCTCTGATTTTTAAAATTCTTCGCGATCGACTTTAGTGATAAAAGACTTTAGTAAAAGTCTCTATCGACGGGTTAGTGATTCCTGTAACGTACTGTTTTACGGTCAATGACATGAATACTAATCATCAGCTGTCTCACGAACGTAACAGCACATCTATCCCCAACATAACAAACCCATAACACAGCGAGGGAGAACTAAGTTACATGAAACAATCCCAACTACATATTTTACACCACTCACAAGGGAAAAGTCACTACTCACGGAGTGTAAGGCTAGCTTCCAGCTTTCCGCTACTTCTCTTTCAAGGTAGTGATGAAACGCGTTCTGTAGCGCTGTTTGTTTGCGTTCGGCTACGGTAGGAATATGACGTCACAACATGGCGACCTTCATAGAAGGGGATTCCCTCGGTTATGGAGCTATTAATGTCTCATTCTAAGGTAATAAAAACATTACGGCTAATTAAGTAAGTTCTTTATACACCACTGAAAACATAGTTATGGATGTCATATTGCATTTCTGTTAATAGATACTCAACTTTGTTACACATTGCACCTTTAATGTGAGATATCAGTTCAATTCAAATAATTAAATAACCAAATAATTCCTGAAAGTTAAAAATACAAATACATAATGAAATAGTTAGTGATCTGAAATGGGATAAATTACCGGTACTGTCACGTTTTCAATGTGTTTGAGTTCTGTTTTGTGATCTTGTTTTCCTCTGTCTTTGTGATTTTGGTTCAGTCCTGTTAGTTTTCCCCGCTCTGTCTAATTAGTAATTCCCTTCACCTGTGTTCAGTTAGTCATCCTTTTAGGCCCTGTTCATTTAAGTATTTCGATCACAGTGTTGCCAGTATTTTACTGTAAAAAAAAACCTGGTCAGGTCTAACAATGTAGGGCCCAGTGTATGTTGTAGCAGAATAGACTTGCTATCGTAGTAGGCCCGACCCGGCCTCCCTGATAGGCAGTTCCCCAGCACTGGTTGGCCTTATCAGGCCACCAAGTAGCTCAGTCCCCAAACCTCTGGTCCGTGTTAGTTAGTATCTCTCTTGAGAAGACTTGAGAAGAGGCTGGCTTAATCAAGCTGCTCCAAACCTGGGCCCCTGGACTATCTGGCCTTAGCAGGCCGCCCTAGGACCATCACCCGGATTCAGGGCTCTTAGCGTCTAGTTGTTTAGATCAGGTAGTAGGCCCCTTCAGGCTTCCCTGAAGGTGGGCTACCACATATTGTGGTTGTCAGGTAGTTGGCCTCATCAGGCCTCCCTGAAGACGAGCCCGAGGACGAGACGAGAAGAGACGAGGGTTGTAAGGACTATGCTGAGTCATGCTCCCCGGGATGCCGGTGATTGTTATGTTTACAAGGTGCCCTTTTATACTTCCAGTCACACGTTAATCATTCATGGGCTATCGCCGGTCAGTGTGATTGTTGGGATTTCAAACACCTGTCACAGCTGAGGCATTCCCCAAAGCGTCATCAACACAGTGTCTCGTTCCATGTTCTGAGGGAACATAGGTTACAGTCGTAACCTGAGACGTTCTGAATTATTCTGACTAAATTTATCATTTGGTTATTATTTATTATTTAACTTTTAGTTTTACATAGAAGCTGATACATAGCCCTAAGCCTAGAAACTTTCTACCAGCGGTCACCTCCATTTTATTTTCTCCATCCATCCCTTTTTTTCTGAATTACTGTAAATTTTCAAAATAAACCCTGATTGATTAAAACAGTGGATAAAGGATATTATGAAGTAGGAATAAATGAAGTTACTCACTCTAATGTGTTTGAGGGTGAAGTTGACTGGTTTGGTGAGTTTAGAGTTTGTGGTTTTGGGAAGAGTAGCTGAGATCACAGTGGACATCATGGTTTTAACCATGTCATTTGATGTGTTGAAGAAGTCTGGCTTCAGTAGATTCTCCATTGTGTTATAACTCATGAAAGCCACAGCAGCTGATCCTGTGGGACAGAAACAGGAAATCACATGGACTGCATGTGATATTATATTGGAAGTATGTAAAAGTTATTTAATGAGTCATACCAAAACTTTTCACATACTTTCACTATTGTTCTTGGCGATCCCAATGAGATCAATGTCCACAGATGAATTTTTTGTTTCAAGTCGAGGGATTTTATTTAAGGTGGCATTTGGTCCAACCATGAAGACTTGAACCTCTGATTTAGAAGAAACCCACACACATCGTGTAAATTTTTCAGTCTAACAATATTTTAAATCGGCCAAATGAGAAATCATGAAATAATAACATCATGCAGAAAGTCAACGATTAGTTCATACACAAGAGTACAAATTTATAGAGCTGCATATTCTGGTTAAATTGAGAAACATGTTTCTTCAAACAGAGCTCACGATTCTCGATTCTGAACAGATAACTAAACAAAATAAACTGTAATTTACTAGAGGTTCTGGAAAAATGTTTATTGCTGCAGTCTATTTAAAATCTTTTCACAATAAATCGTGCAGCTCTGCAAAGTTAGTAATACATAGGCTGTACATGTAGTTACTTCCGCAGTTCTGTTTTACTTACCTAGAGTGTCAAGAGTAAAACTGACATTGGCATATGTGTCTGTCGGCTTCACCAGCATGGACACCAGCTTCTCACTGGCTTTTAACAAACGGTTTCCATCTGACACCAGTTTATTTGGGTCAGCTGATGATGACACTAAAACCCTCTCTGAAAAGTTGAGGACTACATCCAAAATTTTGGTCACATCCTATTTTAGTGATCATAAAATTAGTATTATTTGAAAATATTGAAACAAACAAATATATTTTAGTATGATCTTGATCTAGTGATAAACAATTACTATTTTGTCATGTTTTTCTTACAGTCAAAGGGAGAACTTCAGCAGTGATGTTCTCTATCTGCTCAAGAAGATTTTCACATCGTCCTGTGGCCTGAAATCACAGAGCACTAAAGATTATTTGTTGATTTTAATGTATTTCTTTTATGGTTTCTAAATAAAGGTTAATTGTCGGTGCATGTAAAAGGAACAAATAGTTCAACATAATTTACTGTATGCAAAGAATCAACAACACTGCCTGCCTGCTTGCCTCCCCCCACCCCATTATAACATTATAATGCATTGATGTGGACTGTATAATTATGAATGCTTGATTGATTGTTGTCTTCTTGTTTTGTATAAAACGACTGGTAGGTTAAAACTGAATTGCCCTGTGGGGATAAATAAAGTTGTTTGAATTGAATTGAATTGACATCATACTGTATTATTGAGCTTTTGATTTAAGTTTTATGGTATTCTTTCCAAACTTCCGATCACAGTTTAAGAAACTCGTCTCAACTTACCCTGCATCCATCCAGAGTAAAGTTCAGACCTGGAATGAGAAAAATGAGCATGAATTAAATAGAAGTTCCTTTCAAAACTGGCTGATGCAGTGGGTGTAACAGTAAAATCATCACATGCCATATTTAAATGACCATAACAAAAATGTTACATTAATCCATGATACACAATCACACTATATTCATTTAGGTTAGGAGACTGTAATATTACATGTAACATGAAGAGAAGGAAATGTCAAATCAAACTCAGATGCATTACATTCATATAGTGACATAACTGACATAATCCTCATTTGTAAGTCGCTTTGGATAAAGGCGCCTGCTAAGTGAGTAAATGTAAAGGTTTCATAAGGTGTAACATTAACAAGACAAAAATTGTCACCAAAACAGACTAAGATGAAAGGAAGTCACTCACCTGTAGAAGTAGAACTGGTAGATGTTGTAGAAACGACCAGCTTTAAAGGATCTGAAAAAATGAAACAGGAAACAGATTATAAATCAGACTCAGATGCTGAATTTCTGAGCTAATAATTCCAGTTCAGCAGCACATTCACCTGTAGTACTGGGACTGACAGATGTAGTGGATGTGACATGCTGTATATAAACTGAAAAACAGATAGAAATGTTAAATCAGTTGACAAACTACTGTGTTCTACTGTGTCCACGTGACTAAAGGCCCATGAGAAAAAAGACCAAATTCAGTCTAAAAGTATCCTCACCTGTAGAAGTAAAACTGGTAGAAGTTGCAGAAGTGATTGGCTGTAAAGGAACTGAAAAAAAAATACAGATGTAAAATCAGACTCAGACGATGAACTATTGTTTTATTATGACACTGATTATGGAGGGTCATGTTTCAATATAACAATCCAAGAAAACCATTAAAAAAATTGAAGAAATATAATCTTGAGGAGTTTATTTTTAAAGGCCACTTTAAGTCTAGTTTTATTCTCACCTGAAGACGTAGAACTGGTAGATGTTGCGGAAGTGTTCTTCTGTAAATAAACTGAAACAATAACAAGTAAAATCAGACTCAGGTGATGAACTACTACTTTTTTGAACTACTGAACTACTACTAAACTGCAGGCTTGCATTTCAATATTACAGTGCAATTCACCATCATCCTCACCTGAAGTAGAAATGATAGAAGTAATGGAAGTGCCCGACTGTAAAGGAACTGAAATAATAACACATGATAAATCAGACTTAGATGAAGACATGAAGACAATCATTATGGATGGTTGTAATTCAACATAACAGTCCAGTCTATCATCATCCCCACCTGTAGATGTAGAACTGGTAGAAGTTGTGGAAGTGTCCTTCTGTAAAGGAACTTTATAACACAATAACAATTACACATTAAACAATAACACATGATAAGATGCTGAATTGCTGTGTTCTTCAAGAAAACACAAATTATGGAGGAACATCTTTTGAAAGTCACTTTCAGCCCAGAAACATGCTCACCTTCAGTAGTGAGACTGGTAGATGTTGTGGAAGTGACTGTCAGTAAATGATCTGTAATATTTACATGGTGAAAATAGATGCCAAGTCAGATTTAGATGAAGTGATGTGTTCTTTATGAAGATATTAGTTGTGGAGGGCATTTCAACACATACAGTCCAGTGTAACATAATCCTCACCTGTAGAAGTAGAACTGGTAGATGTTGCGGAAGTGACCAGATGAAAAGGAACTGAAACAATAGCATATGGAAACAGATGATAAATCAGATTCAGATGTTGAATTACTCTGTTCTTCATGAATAAAATCATTATGAGGGGGTTCTTCTTAAAGGGGTCATCAGATGCCCATTTTCCACAAGTTGGTATGATTATTTAGGGTCTTAATGTAAAGTTTGTAACATACTTTGGTTAAAATTCTTTAACACTAGAACGGCCACAACGGTCATTTTGACCGTTTTGAATTTTATATCTACAATAACTTTGTTGAAAAAAATAATAAAATCCTGCTGGTACCTGACTTTTCCTAAAATTGTCTGTATTTTCATTTAAAATGCTTTTCATATAAATTAAGTTACGTAAACGTAAGGCAAAACAAAAAAAATGAACATATTTACCTATTTCGGCCATAGACGGTCATTTTGACCGCACTAAATTTCGCGGTATTTTTTTTTTAAATATCCCGCGGTTGACCGCAGTTGACCTCAACTGTCAACAGAAAGGTCTGTCCGGTCACCTCAGCGGTGTTTGCTAGCCTATATAATAATTTCTACATTAGTTGATCAGAAATAAGCAAATAAAACCGGACTAGTTATCTATAATACGTTATCTATAGGCTCTCTCTCTCTCTCTCTCTGTCTCTCTCTCTCTCTCTCTCTCTCTATATATATATATATATATATATATATATATTGCTAGGCTAAAATGTCTAAAATGAATGAGCGAATGAGGAGGAACATGACTTGACGAGTCATGAACTTGACGAGTGATGATTCGGATGCAGGGGAACAATCGGAGGTGGAAAGTGACAGCGACGTTTCCTGGGTGCAAGTTAACATTTCCTCCTCATCAGAGAGTGATTCAGAGTCAGAGTCCACATCAAGGAAAAAGAAACGGCTGCTATCGTCAGACACGGCGGATCCAGATGTTCCATTCATGTCGGATGATCCTGGTGAGCTCCGCTGCCCTGTCCTGCGCTGTTTGTTTTGCTGCATGGGCTGTTCACTAGTTCTGCTAGTCCTATTATTATTATTAGCCTATTTATTATTATTATTATTATCATTATAATATTATTTATTATGATATTATTATTGTTATAGGCCCTCCCGGACCTGTAGTCCTACCTGCTCTTGTGCCAACTGTGCTCAGCCCACCCTTAGAGCCATCTCAGCCAGAGACAGCTGTGGAAAAGGGGAAGGATGGGATGGTGTGGACGGTCCTTCAGTCAACCGAACGTCCTGGGAGAAGGCAGAGCCAAAATGTCCTGACTGAAGCTGCTGGTCCCACAGCGCACGCCAAGCGCAACATCGAAGATGCGCTCACGGCCTTCTTGTGTGTGCCTTCATAGCCTTCATAGCCCTGCTGTATATCCATGGCGCACAATGTGCAAAAAACATGGAGTTAGACAGCATGTGGTCAGAAAAATGGGGCTTTCCATTTTTCAAGGAAACCATGGCCAGAAATCGCTTCAGGGAGATAATGAGATTCCTGCGGTTCGATGAAAAGGAGACCCGACGTGTGCGCCTGCAGGATGACAAGTTTGCCCTGGTGTCAGCCACTTGGAACAAGTTCGTTCAGAACAGCATAGCATGCTTCAAGCCCGGTGCCGATATCACAATTGATGAGCAGCTGTTCCCCACCAAGGCCCGGTGCAAATTTATTCAATATATGGGGAATAAGTCTGATAAATTCGGCATCAAATTTTGGCTTGCTGCAGATGTCCAAACCAAATATATGCTGAACGGGGCTCCGTATCTGGGAAAGGACGAGACGCGGAGCAGAAGTCAGCTTGTGGGAGAGAGTGTGGTGCTGAGGCTGGCGGATCCATTCCTTGGGAAGGGAAGAAATATCACCACGGATAACTTCTTCACGTCCCTCAAACTGGCCACCGCCTTACAGGCAAAGAGGACCAGCCTGGTTGGCACCGTGGGGAAAACGAAACGTGAGTTGCCCCCTTCTGTGAAAGAACAAGCGGAGCTGTTCAGCACAAAGGTGCTGAAATGTGCTGACGCAACGCTCACCATCTACCAGAGAAAGCCGCGGAAGAATGTTTGTATTTTGAGCTCTGTGCATACAAGCGTGGGCATCACCGATGGGCCAAAGGCAAAGCCCGAGTCGGTGACGTACTACAATAATACCAAGTACGGCGTGGACGTCCTAGACCAGATGGCAAGGGCATACTCGGTGAAAGGCGGTACACGTAGATGGCCAGTCGCTGTATTTTATAACATCCTCGACCTGGCTGGGATCAATGCCCACATCCTCTTCAAGGAGTGCACCAGCAACAAATTACCTCGGAGAAAGTTCTTGCAGCAACTTGCAGAGCAGCTGAGAGCACAGTTCATGGAGGAGAAAAGAGCAGTACGGCAGCTGGCACAAGGTTCCAGTCAGCAGCAGAAGCAACCACCGCAGCAGAAGCAACCACCGCAGCAGACACCAAAGCGGAGGCAGTGCCAGGTTCGGAGAAGCTGCATTCAAAACAAAACCCACGACACCTGCTGCAAATGCTTCAAACCCGTGTGTGGAAATTGTTCGAGGAGAAGAGAGGTCACTTGCCTTGACTGTGAAACTTGAATAGTCAAGCACTATATTGATGTAAATAATTTACAAACAATTTGTACAGGCTAGTGTTTTTATGTTTCTGTATTCTTCTACGCTTCCTTCTTGGTTCTTCTTTGTTTTAGATCAGTTAATTTCCCGCTTTTCCTATTAGCCTATTTTCTCTGTTATTATATTAACATAAAATGTTTTATAATTAAATAAGATAAGTGTTATATAGATAATTGTTTTTGTTCTGAGTTAATGCATATGGAAATATAGCCTATTTGTTGTGATGTGAATATGCGATAGCCTATGTATAGGCTACTAATGATATTATTATTGATAAATGTATAATTAAACTTGTTTAAATGTACAATTTGGTGTTTCTTGTTTTTAAAATATATCCGAATAGAATAAATGCATTAATTCCTCAATTGGATTTTTATAATTAAAGATAGTTTGGAATCAGTGTTAATTTTGACTTAGTTTAAGTCATAGTTTTTGACTATAATGCCATTTAGTTTTAGTCATATTTTAATAATCTGAATTGTTTTAGTTTTAGTCTAGTTTTAGTCGACGAAATACAATGAGATTTTAATCCAAAATTTAAAACCAAAGTATAATGGGTTTATTTAAATTGTAATGCATTCATTTTGAAATTTTCTAAAATGTCTAAACCCATATTCTCCCGAAGAAAACATATATTAACCTGTTAATATATATGATTTTAAAGTTTGAAAATGCAATACAGATACAGATTTAACTACGATGAAAAAAATTGAAAATTAAAACACTTTTCCCGAAGTTGGCCTATAAATAACACAGTCTTCTTTCCAAGTAATTATATATGCATTCTCTGCTTGCATACATCATTCTTTATTCTTTCAAGCAGCAGACATATTTATTTGTATGAATTAAATATAATGAATAGTTATTAAAGCTATTAATAAGCAGTGAATGATTGTCTCTTTTTCTTTTGTTGCTGACTGGACCGGTTCGCAAATCGTCACTAACATTTTCGTCATAGTTTTTGTCATTCAAACCTAGTTTTTATTTAGTTATCGTCTTGTTTTCGTCTTTGAAAAAATATGGTTGACGAAAATAATGACGTCTAATAATTAATAAACAATAAATTAATAATAATTACGTAAAATTATTCGTCAACGAAATAAACACTGTTTTGAATCTAACGGTCAAAATGACCGTTTGTGGCTGTTCTAGTAGTTTTGGAATTCTGGCACTTCTAGTGTTAATGGTTGTGTAAAACAAAACCCTTTTACCTCCTCAAAAACATCTTTTTTCACAGCAACCCGTTTTGTTGCATGTCTCTTTAAATGATATTGAGCAACTGCTGACCACACCCCTCTCTTCTGTGGGTCGTGTCAAATACAAGACACATAAAGTGTTTCCTTGGTGGACAGTATACAAATGGCTGAGGGCAGAATTAGGGACAGTCCGTCAGCGGTTGTGGACAAAGCATGAGCAAAAGGACATCATATTGACTCAGAAAATCCAAACTAGTTGTTTATTGAGAGTGTTTAGGCTTTTTTGAGAATTAAAAAAGAGGAGTGAATGGATTTTGTTCATTGTATGGTGGTTGTGCCCACACACTGTGTCACTCGTGACAATCGAGGGGGGGGCGGAACTATTATTTTGTGCCTTCGTTCCCATGGGGAACATTTCCGGGGGGGGGGGACCTAAGACTTCTCCGGTTCCTATTTGATGTACAGCAGGTGCGCATTGTGAGCGCGTCGATCGCTGATTGGCGCACACGTCATACCAGCACAGTTGAAAAGGTCTTTGGTTGGTGAGCGGGGAAAAGGAAGGGGCAGAAAAAGAACGACGTGTCTGAGCTGGTCGAAGTCCTCGACGAGTGAAAGAGTGCAACAGAGAGAGAAGTGACATACATTGGGCTGGAGCAAGCGGTATGAGGAATGATTATGACTATGTGGGCTGGTGTATGGAATTAATGATTGCCTACAGTATTGCTGCAGGAGCACCTCATTGATGAAGATAGAAGAGACGCCGTACTGAAGCCTGATTTGTGAGTGAAATGATTTTGATTTCTTAAAGTTATTCACGTGTGTTTTGCCTGTGTGGATTGCAGTGTGCACGAAGGTGGAAGTGTAATGCTTAGGCTACGATGGTCTGTACTGATTCATCTCCCTATGAACGTCAGGGAAGAGAAGTATTACTGAACCTGGTTTCTGCTATTATTCACCATTGAACATTGTAAGAATACAGCTTCAGCTAAGCCACTCCGCCAGTTATCTACCATTGAATGATCATCTCGATGGAGAATTAACACCAGTGATTGTACTCCTTATAACCACCCTGACCTTTTTCATTCTCTCTGCCTGAGCCCTACAGAGAAGCGGATACGCTGTGAACACGCCGCTGAGCAACCGAGGCCCATTCTTTCTGCCTGAGCTCCACAGAGAAGCAGTATCGCTGCAGTTACGTCGGTGAGCAC